AGAAGTAGAATTATCTCTACTTACAGATGACATGATCTTATATTTAGAAAATCCCATAGAATCCACAAGAAAGCTTCTAATCTAATAGAGAATTTCTATTAGCAAAGTAGCAGGATATAAGGTCAATAAACAAAATCCGTCAGATTTCTATATATCAGTAATGAGAAAGCTGAAAAGGAAATTAAGAAAGCAATTCCGTTTATAATAGCCTCTAAGAGAATAAAACATGTAGGAATAAATTTAACCAGGGATGTGAAAAACTTATATGATGAAAATTATAAAACACTGCTAAATGAGATTAAAGAAGACCTAAATAAACAGAAAGACATTCCATGTTCATGGATTGGAAGAATTAATATTATTAAGATATCAATTCTACCCAAAGCTATCTAAATAATCCTGATCAAAATTCCAACAGCTTATTTACAGAAATGGAAAAAACAATCCTCAATTTTATATGGAAGGTAAGTGGCCCCAAATAGCTAAAGCAATTTTGAAGAAGAACAAAATAGGAGGACTCACACTTTCTGATTTCAAAAAATACTATAAAGCTACCAAATTCAAAACATCTTGGTACTGGTTTATTAATAGACACAAAGACCAACGGAACAGAATTGAGAATCCAGAAATAAACCCACACATCTAGGGTGAAGTGATTTTTGTCAAGGGTGCTAAGTCCATTCAATGGGGAAGGAAAAGCCTCTTCAATCAACGGTGCTGGGAAAATTGGATTTCTACATGCAGAAAAATGAATCAGGATCCATGCCTCACAACATACACAAAAACCAAGTCAAAATGGATTAAGGACCTAAATGTGAAATACAAAGCCACAAAATTCTTAGAAGGAAATATACAGGAGCACAGGTGTCAGGTCCAGCTTTTAACAACAGAATTATCTGACTAAGAAAATCACAGATAGCAAAAGACAAAACAGATCAATGGGCCCTCATATAAATTAAATACTGTCATTCATCAAAGGGCTTTGTCAAAAAAGTGAAAAGACAACCTACAGATTGGGAGAATATTTCTGGGAAACATACATTAGATAAGGGTCTAATATCTAAAATATATATAAAACTTCTTCAACTTCACAACAACAGAAAGGGAAATAACTCAATCAAAAAATTGGCAAAGGACCTGAATAGGCATTTCACCAAAGAGGATACACAAATGACCAACAAACCCAAGACAAGAAGCTCACGGTCTTTAGCCATCAGAGATGCAAATCAAAACCACAAGGAGATACCACTTTACTCCCGTTAGGATGGCTAAGATTTTTTAAAAAAAGGAAAATAACAAATGTTGGCGAGAACGTGGGAAAGTTGGAACCCTTACCCATTGCTTGTAGGAATGAAAAATAGTACAGCCACTGTGGAAAACGATGTGGTAGTTTCTCAGAAAACTAGAAATAGAATTACTGTGACCCAGCATTCCCACTCCTAGGTATATACCCAAGGGACAAAAAGCAGTGATGGGAACAGATACATGCACATCAGTGCTCACTGCAGCACTGTTTACAACAGCCAGAAGGTAGAACAACCTAAATGTCTATGAATGGATACATAAAATGTGATACATACATATAACAGAGTATTTGCTGCTGTTGCCGGGTGCATCCAGTCTATTCGACTCACAGGGACCTCATACCGCTATGGTAAAGAAAAATGAAGTCTTCACACACACTGCAGCGTGGACACGTCTTGAGAACATTATGCTGAGTAAGATCAGTCAGTCGCGAAGGGACAAACAGTGTATGATCTCACTCACATAAGATGGTAAGAACAGGCAAATGCACAGAGACTAAAGTTTATTAGTGGTTACCAGGGGCAGGAGGGTGGGAGTTAGGGGGAATCATTGTTTGGGAAGCAATGACTTTTTGTTTATGGTAATGGGAAATTAGGCATTGATTAAGGGTAACAGTTGCACAATATGATTAATGCAATTGATAACCCTAAACTGTACACCTGAAAAAGGCTGAATTGGTAAATGCTATGTTATGTATATTTGCAAACAACAACAAAGAGCAGCTGCTGAGGCTGCTTATGTACAACCAAGTATCTCATGGAATTTATTTTTCCTGGTTTGGCGATTTAGGGGCATGTTTTCATGGGACATCCTAGTCAATTGTTCTAATATGTTTTTAGTGTGTATGTTCTACCTCCCAGTTCATTGCGTAGTGCCCGGGGTCTTAAAAGCTTGTGAGCCGCCATCCAAGGTACAAAAATTGGCCTCCATTCACCTGGAGCAGTAGAAGAAGAAGGAGAGGCAGGAGTCAGAGGAGGAACTGTGATGTGTGTCCAACTGTCTCCATGAACAACTGCCTCCTTCGCCATGAGACCAGAAGAACTAGATGGTGCCCAGCTACCATTTCTGAATGTTTTGATCAAAGAGTCTATAGAAGAATCCTGATCAAAAGGGGGAAAATATGGAACAGAATTTAAAATTCTCATAGAATCCAGACTTTTTGGAGCCATTGAGGCTTGATGACCCCCAACTGTGAGGATGGCACAGGAGCAGGCAGTATCTTGTTCTACTGTATACAGGGTCGCTGTAAGTCGGAACCGACTCGATGGCAACTAACAACAGCAACAATGATCCAATGGCAAACAGACAGTAGTAACCCATACTTCTCTGCAGGCTCTGGATATAGCCATACAACGTTTGGTGCTCTCTGCACAGCAGACTATGTGAACAGTGCCCCCTAGAGTTGTACAGGGCGCATGAGTGAGTACACAGCAGCTCTGGGTGCCTGATCACATATTAAACGTGTTGAATGAATGAATACGTGAACCGCAATGAAACTGTATAGTTATATAGTGAACTGGAATGGAATAACATATAAGAGGAGCCCCAGTGGCACAGTGGTTAAGCATTCGGCTGCTAACCAAAAGGTATGCAGTTCGAATCCACTCGCTGCTCCTTTGGAAACCCTATGGGGCAGTTCTACACTGTCCTATAGGGTCACTATGAGTCAGAATTGATTCGATAGCAATGAGTTGTACATATATATATGTATAATAACTAACTCAAAATTAAAATATGAATGAGAAATACGTAAACTCTGTACTACCCTCTTGTTTAAACTCTGCACTGTTAAATGTAAATTATAAGTTTAAAATTATTTTCTTAATTCCCTGAAAATTCTACTGATCAGCTGAATGCAGCTCTTATATCTCGTTTCCTCAATGTAATCAGAGGAGTCAAAGGAATCAAGATGGGTCAGGGACAGAGTAAAGTGACTGAGCAGAAATCTCCCCGCCATGCTTTGTCTCCATCCCGTATTAGTAAGGTCAGTATAGAGACTGACTCTTCTTCCATGTCTGAGTCATCTAGTGCTGCTATAACAAAAATACCCAAGTGAATGACTTTAACAAATAGCAATTTATTCTCTCACAGTCTAGGAGGCTAGAAGTCCAAATTCAGGGGCCAGCTCCAGGGGAAGGCTTTCTTTGGGGGCTCTAGGGGAACGTCCTTGTCATCAATCTTCCCCTGGTCTAGGAGCTCTTCAGCTCAGGGATCCTGGGTTCAAAGTATGCACTCCACTCCTGGCTCTTCTTACTTGGTGGTAATGAGGTCTCTCTCTGCTTCCTTCTCTCTTTTATATCTCAAAAGAGATTGACTCAAGATACAATATAATCCTGTAGATTGTTTCCTGCCTCATTAACATAACTGCCTCTAATCCTGCCTCATCAACATCATAGAGGTAGGATTTACAACACATACGATTATCAGATCACAAAATGGAAGACAACCACAAAATACTGGGAATCATGGCCTAGCCAAGTTGACACACATTTTGCGGGGACACAATTCAATTCCTAACACTCCAGAACACCTGTTAGGTTAAATACCTGCAAATCTTCAGAAAGGGCATTACTGAGATTTCAGGAGATAACATTAGACATCCAGGTTCCTCCATCACCTGAGTGCATCTCTAATATCGACTCCATCTCCTAAGACCCTCTTCCTCCGACTGGTCTTCTCACTCTCCCTTGTGTGTCACGTTCCCTGCTCAGGTCACTACTCACGTGGTCCCACACTTGCACATTCATGCTTTTCCACCTGCTCAAATAGGTTCTGTTCTTTAAGGATACCCTTAAGCTCCACTTCTCTTAAGAACCCATTATGATTACTTTGACCCATATGGGTTAATCCTTTTATGGAATATAGATATACACATATAATTTTCATTTAGATCCCTGAGTGGCACAAACAGTTTGTGATCAGCTATTAACTTAAAGGTCCACTTCTAACCCACCCAGCGGTTCTGCGGAAGAAAGGCCTGGTGAACTGCTTCCATAAAGATTACAGACAACAAAACCCTATGGAGTAGTTCTACTTATGTCACACATGGGGTCTCCATGAATTGGAATCGACTTGACCGTAACAGGTTTGGTTTTGGTTTTATAATCTTTACACACAATCTTACTATTGCTCTTAAATTGTACTGCATTCAAATCTTTCCTTCCTAATTAGACAATAATTTGCTTAAGGACCAAGATCGTAGATGAAAAGTTCTTTGTCTCTTCCCCTCATCAGTGCACAGCTCTTGTTAGGCGCTCAAAACATGTCTGCTGAGTTGAACTGAGAAACAAGAATACTATGGGAATGTTACCCAGAGCTACCTAGGACCCCAGTTAGGAAACGAAAGAAAGGGGGGAAGGGACGGAGTGAGGGAAGAGAAGATGGATGGACAGATAATTCTTCCCTGGAAGGCAGACAAAAGTTCTGTCGACTGTTGTCAAGGTTTCTGCATAGGAAACTGATGGCTGGGTCCGGCATAACCCACATAACACGTCCAGCTTCGGCCATCCAGCTCATTCAAGGCAACATCTTGGTGCCATAAATTACGATTGGGTAAGCTTGTGGTTATTTACATAATACCACATTTTACTTTGCATCATCTGTGCACACCAACTCTAAGAGATGACAGTATGCTGCGACCACCCCCGTAGTTCCCACGACACTCTCTGCATCTTTGCATCTCTGGGGCCACTTACATCATACTTTCGGGCTCCACAGCACAGGCACCGACCGCTTTTGTCACATTCACAAGGAGAGACTGGTTGATCCCAACGAGGAGGCTCACAAGCGGCTGAATGCCGCCACATTTCCGGACAAGGACCCGGTTCTCGTACTCTTGGCAGCACTCTCCCAGCGCACCCACCACGTTCACAAGGACTTCTTCGGGCTGATCACTTAAAAGTCCCACCAAGGTTTCAATGGCTCTGTACTCACGAAACCTAAGTTCATCCCGAGAGAGAGAGACGAACAGTATTATTTTGAGTATAAAGTTAGTGACATTAATAGCTGTAATAATAGCTAAAAATCACTGAATGCTAACTACATGCGCATTTAATTGTTGTTTGCTGTCAAGTTGATTTCAACTCAGAGCGACCCCATGTGACAGAGCAGAACTGCCCCACAGAGTATCCTAGGCTGTAATCTTCACAGGAGGAGCGCTGGTGGTGGAGGGGTTAAGCTCTCAGCTACTAACCAAAAGGTCGGTGGTTCGAACCTACCTGCTGCTCCCCAGGAGAAAGACGTAGGAGTCTGCTCTCATAAAGATTACAGCCTTGGAAACCTTATGGGGCAGTTCTACTCTGTCCTAATGGGTCACTATGAATTGGAATCGACTCGATGGCAATGGGTTATGGGAATCTTTATGGGAGCAGATGGCCTGTTCTTTCTCCCGCAGAGCTGCTAGGTAGGTTTGAATCACTAACCTTTCAGTTAGCAGCCAAGCTCTTAATTGGTACACCACAAGGGCTTCCTCATTTAACTGTAATCCTGTAATAAAATGTACGTACTATTGATAATCCCCATTTTGGGATGGCTAACTTGAGCCCTGGTGGTGCAGTGGTTAAAACGATCAGCTGCTAACAGAAAGGTCAGCGGTTTGAAACCACCAGTGGCTCTGCGGGAGAAAGATGTGGCAGTCCACTTCTGTACAGATTTTCAGCCTCAGAAACCCTAGGGGGTCAGTATAAGTTGGAATCAACTCGATGGCAGCAGGTAACCTGAAGCTTAAGAGATTAAGGTTGCCGGCTGGTACACAGCAAAGCTGGCATTCACACCTAGCCACTGGCCTCAGACCCGCACCCTTAACCTCTATGCCACGCAGCCTCTGAGGCAACTACCTTCTCTTCCAGATCTGAGAGGATGATTCCACTCTGCTAAGAATTTTTTCCCATCTTACAGAGACTATTTTATGTGAACAAAGCATTTTAAATGTTTAATGAAAATTAATTATATATTACATATTTACGCTTTTAAACACATCAAACATGATCTATCGTACCTATTCGAGTTTAATAAGTCTTTCCAAGTAAGCAGTAACTTGTGTTACTTGGGTAAAAAGATCACTCACTCTCAGACAGTTTCAGTACTAACCATGAATAAATTTTAGCATCTCTTTTGTCACACAATTTCACTAATTTTTTTCACTACAAATATACCGCAAGGAAGGATGCTACATAAAAGTATATATTCTTCCAGATATGACATTTTCCTTTATCTAATAAAGAAATTTCAGCAGTATTTTCAAATACTACCATGCAGTTGAATTTTTTAAGGTTACTTAATAGAGCCACTACCACCACTACAAATTGCCCTCAAGTCACTTTTGACTCATAGCAATCCCATGTGTACAGAGAACTGCGCCCCGTAGGGTTTTCAGGGCTGTGACCTTTTGGAAGCAGATCTTCAGGCCTTTTGTCAGAGGCACCTCTGGTTGGCTTTGAACCTCCGACCTTCCAGTTAGTAGTCAAGCACTTAAATGTCTGTACTACCCAGGGACTCCTTATCAGAGTCAAGGAACTTTCAATAAAGTTAAAAGTTTGTTTACTTAAGGTTACTTGTGATGGAGTCAAACCATTACTTCATTACACATTCTCTATTCAGTAAGCCCATTTTGTGTTAGTCAGGAAATGTGAATTTCTTGTTAAAGGGAGTCATCACACCAAGACAAACTGACAGTGTGAACTCTTAAGATATATAAAGAGATAAGTTTGAGGATTGAAACAAATCAAACGGCCATGAAGTTTACAAATATTTTTAAATAAAATTCTGTGAAATCGTATTTGTAAATGGATACTCTTTAAGGGTAACTGGTTAGCTGGCATTTAGCTGCCATCTTGTTTATCCTTAGAAAAGGACGAAGAATGTATCACTTCCAGATCTAAAGATTCCATAGGAAATTCATCCCCTCACTGAGAGTTCTCACCAGAAAACATAGGAGATACTTCTAATTTAAATGGCTGTCCCTATGTAAACCAGTCCATCTGCACAGAGATTAAGTCAGCAAGCCCCCTGGCCCTACTGCTGTTGTCATCTGCCTTCCAGTGGGTCCAGCTTATGGGGACCTACGCACAACAGGTTCAGACCGTTGTATCATAGGGTTTTCAATGGCTGATTTTCAGGAGTAGATCACCAGATCTTTCTTTCTAGTCTGTCTTAGTCTGACTGCTCCACTGAAATCTTTTCAGAATCATAGCAATAGGCAAACCTCCACTGACAGATGGGTGGTAGCTGTACATGAAGTGCATTGGCTGGGAATCAAACACAGGTCTCCCGTATGGAAGGAGAGAATCCTACCACTGAACAACCACTGCCCTCACAGCGGCCCAGAAAATCACTGCCAGGGGTGGAGGGTCCTTCATTTCTAAGACGCTCTTAATCATGCCAACTTAACCCAGAAGGTGTATCTATGAAAACTACAGTGGTAGCATTAGAATTAACTATTAAAATAGCATCGACCGCAAGGATGTGTTTCAGGGGCCATGTTTGTATTACAGACTATTCAGTGTCTTCTCTTACTTGGTCACGTTCTCTTTGCTGATGGAGCACTTCCATATTGCCCCTGTGACAGCAGCTAACCGCTCCTTGTTGTCAGTTTTACCGAGCAGACTGGCCAGTGGTTTCAGTCCCCCATGCAGCCTCACCAGGTCCCGCGTCTCCTCATCTTCCGCACACTGCGCAGAAAGTCAACCAGAGGCTGTCAGTGTCCAAGGACATCAAGCTCCCCGTGATTGCTACAGAGGCTGCCACACTAAGCATTACTGAACTTCTCTTCGGGGAGTATCATTTTCTGAAGGAGCCTCCAAGTAAAACACCACTCTTCTCTCTGACACTGTGTCTCTTCCCAGAAGTGGTTTTGGCAAGGTAGTTCCTACACATGTGGCAATTCTCCCAAGCCTGTCCCTCAGTAGCCTGGGCTTCCCCCAAGACAGAAGCAAAGGTCAGTAGGGCCGAGAACGCCACGTGCACGAACAGAGAATTTCTCCACTGATGCAACCCAGAGTCTTGGGAAAATGTAGTGGAGGAGACAGATGAGTGATAGGGATTCAATCAGATTTTCAATGACCCCAAATCTAAGAGATGAAGAATTTCCCCCCCCCAGAGTCTCCATGCCCCTCTCAGAGCAATGGGTTATATTAATAGACCTGATAGTTTATTCAAACACATGTTTATCCACATGTTCGTGTTATCCTCTGAAAGATTTACTGCATAGATTTTCCCAACTGATCATCCTTCTCAGGTTACAGAGCCAACGGATGATTAATTTAATACAGATCTGGCGATTATCCTAAGCATCCAGTTATTTCTTGATGCCACGCAACACAGCTGCGTGTCATGTGTCATTCATGGGGGCCACAGGAAGAAACTGTGCAACAAATGTACCACAGAGGTACATGTTTACCTGCTATGTTTATCTTCTGTGTGTGACTTTCAGTTCTGGTTAAGTTGCAACTTCTAAAAATTAATCACTATTTCTAATTGAACCCTCAACGGTTGCTCATACTATGTGTACATATCCTCCTCTATGGAGTGAGTCCCTCTCTGACGTTCTTTTCAGCTTGTTCTCTCACTCGGCACATCTTAAGTGCATTCCTAAACCAAAAAAAACCAACCAAACAAACTAAACCCACTGCTGTTGAGTCAATTCCGACTCACAGCGACCCTACAGGACAGAGCAGAACTGCCCCATAGGGTTTCCAAGGAGCGGCTGGTCGATTTGAACTGCTGATCTTTCGGTCTGCAGCCCAGCCTTTAGCCACTGAGCCACCAGCGCTCCAGTGGATTCCTAGATCTAAGCAATCTTCTCGGATTAGGCAGAAGCTGGGGCAGCAGTGACCAGCCATACGCTAACCTGTCCACTTACTATTCTAAGATGCCCTCCGGTATACTATGCGAGTTATAGTCCACAAGAAACTAGTGAAGATTAAGTAAATTAATAAAAAGATAACACAGGAATACTCACACACACACGCGCGCGCACACACATTCATTCATCCATCCCGCGATCATCATGTTTAAATGTTGTTTGTTAGCTAGCTGCTGTCAAGTCCACCAACTCGTGGCAACCCCATGCACAGTGGAACGAACGCTGCCCATCACTGCACCATCCCCATGACTGCTTATAGATCAGACCACTGGGCTTTCCCTGGCTGCTTTTCAGAAGTAAATCACCAGGCCTTTCTTCCTAGTCCATCTTAGTCTGGAAGGTCTGCTGAAGCCTGTTCAGCATCATAGCAACATGAGAGCCTCCGCGGACAGAGGGTGGTGCCTGCCCTTGAGCTGTACTGGGGGAACGGAACAGGTCTGCACGGAAGAGAATTCTACCAGTGAACCACCAACGCCCCACGTTTAAATAGGATCTCTGAAATGCAACATGGAGGTACCATGTACTTATTTTGCCACTTTAGGAGAAAGACAGAGATGGTCATAGAAGTCTCTTCTAGAAATGCAAACCATCTGACATATCGATGCAATTTTCTCTCTGACGTGTAGTTTTCTCTCCGTCACCACCGCGGCGCACGGGTTCTCAGATCTCTGTGCGCGTGAAAATCCCCCAGGGTGCTCGTTAGGAATCCCGAGAGAACGAGACCGCACGTTCAGCAACACTGCGGTGAACGACACGGAGAGGAAACCAGGACGCTCAGGGAGCGCTCAGACCTGGTAGATGGCCATGGCGCAGTGCTCCTGAAGCTGCTCGTTCGCACTGTTCAGGTTCTTCACTAGGTTCTCAATAATCCGTTCTGCTTTGATGGCCGCGCGGTAGTTTTCCTAGGAACATGAATGGAAATATTTATGTGCATGTAATGCATGACTAGAAAAACAATCCATTATAAATATGCTTACTATGACTTTGAATACATCTCTTTAGAGCGCAGTTTCCTTTTCCCTTATTCCGTCAATGATTTCAGAGCTTGAATTATAAATCCGAATCTTTCTTTTCCATTAGCAAAACAATTCTCAAGGATTTGTAAACTTTCAGCCAGTTAGATCACAGGTGTAAGAAAGCCGGTGGAAAAAAACTCTGAGTTATCTGGTCCTTGTTTCTCTGGGCCTCCTACCTCGGTCTCCCCGCAAAACTACGTCAGAACGAAGGACAAATATCTCTTCCTTCTTACCTCACCCTGCATATCCACATGTATCCAAGGGTCCATTTACTAAATGAAAATAGAACGTCATATGTCTCCTATTTTACCAATATTTTTAGGTCAGTTTTCCAACATATCAACACAGCTTTAGAAAAAAATATTATGAAAAACTTTATTTTCTTTGCATAGGAAACACAATGTTTTCTAATGTTTTGTGAATTCTGTAAATCTCTTAAGATGAAGAGATTTGGCAGCTGATTCTCGCAGTTTCTGGAATATTCTAGACATATCACAGATTTCAGAGGCAGGTAAGAAACCCAGTATGGTTGAAGGCGGGTGTCTTAGTTATCTAGTGTTGCTACAACAGAAATACAAGTGGATGGCTTTAACAAAGAGAAATTTATTCTCTCACAGTCTAGAAGGCTAGAAGTCCGTATTTAGGGTGCCAGCTCCAGGGGAAGGCTCTCTTTCTCTCTCTGTAGGCTCTGGGGGAAAGTCCTTGTCATCAATCTTCCCCTGATCTAGGAGCTTCTCAGTGCTGGGATCCCAGGTTCAAAGTACATGCTATTCTCCTGGCTCTTGTTTCTTGGTGGTATGAGGTCCCCCGTCCCTCTGTTTGCTTCACTCTTTTATATCTCAAAAGAGACTGGCTTAAGACACATTGTAATCTTGTAGATTGAGTCCTGCCTTATTAACACAACCGCCGCTAATCCCACTTCATTAACTTCATAGAGGTAGAATTTACAACATGTAAGAAAAATATATCAGATCACAAAACGGTAGACAATCACACAATACTGAGAATCATGGCCTAGCCAAGTTGATACACATTTTTGGGGGACATAATTCAATCCATGACCATGGGTTAGTGCTTTTTCTTTAGAGTCAATAGGGAATTTGTCTGTTTATTATGGGAAGAGGTGTGTTGGGGGAAAGATCTGCCTCTACGCCTCCCCTCTAGGCTGCCTAAGTAAAGGCCTGGGGCCCAGAACATTCTTAGATAAAGAGGATGGGAATTTGGTCGCCCTCTCTCTCTCAATTCCTTCTCCTTATCAGAGAAGGCTTTCTCCTGTTCTGGGCACACAGGAACTTTCTCTGTCTCTTGCACATATGAAGGCACCACATGGCACCTGGCCAACTCTACTTTTATATCTATTCTCAGCGGGGAGGAAACAGTGTCTCTCGTACTACAGCAAAAGGGGAGGAACGTGCCAGATTGTAAGAGCTGGTCTCAAGGGGTGGACTGAAGGGGAAACAGGCTTTGTGAGGTTGAACATGGGCGCCCTCATGCATTCCATCAGTTCACCGCAGTTTGCTAAGTCATCCTTACGTAAGTTCCTGGCATCTAGCCACTACTGTCCACTACCTCTACAAAACCTCTACCTTCCTGCTGAGGGGTACGGAGATATGCTTTGTTCCTACATCCACCCAGGACTGCCCAGTAGGTAAGCCCCCTAATAAATTCCTTTGCTGCCACACTGGAGTTCTCCACCTCTTCCTTTGGCCTCTTGGCACCCTCCATTTTCGGAGGCAAATTTCACATTACTGGTCCATGCCTGGACAGGGTGTTGGAATTAGGGGAAAAAAACTATTTACATCATGGAATAATCTAAGTCCTTTTTCATGGTGGAATTTTTCTGAACAAACTTTCTTAGTAAAGAAATATCAATCTCCAAGTTAAACATATCTACATAACAGTATGAACATTTAGTCAAATATTTTAAAAATATATCACAGTGGTACTGTCATCGATTGAATTGTGTCCCCCAGAAATGTGTCAACTTGTCTAGGCCATGATCCTCAGTATTGTGTAACTGTCCTCCAATTATGATCTGATGTAATTATCCTCCATTTTGTGGTACTATGTAATTATCCTCCATTTTATGTGTTGTAAATCCTAAACCTCTGTATGTTAGTAGGGCAGGATTAAACCAAAAACAAAACCAAATCTGTTGCTGTCAAGTCGATTCCAACTCATTGCAACCCTCTAGGACAGAGTAGAACTGCCCCACAGGGTTTCCAAGGAGCAGCTGATGGATTCGAACTGCCAACCTTTTGGTTAGCAGCCTGAGTTCTTAACCACTACACCACCAGGGCTCCAAGGGCAGGATTAGTGTGGGGTTTATCTTAAATCACTGCCTTCACCAAATTACTCAAGTCACCACCTTACTCAAGTCACACCTTTGATTGCTCCACACCTTTCATATTATAAAAGGAGAGGGAAACAAGCAGAGGGGAAAGGGATCTCACTACCACCAAGAAAGAAGAGCTATGAGTGGACCACATCCTTTAGACCTGGGGGTCCCTGTGCTTAGAACCTCCTAGACCCAGGGGAAAACTGATGCCAAGACACACAGAGATCTCCAAGGGACACCAGGCCCACAGATGTCGAAAGGAGACAAGGACCTTCCTCCAGAGCTGACTAAGAGAGAAATCCTGACTTCTAGCCTCCTAAACTGTGAGAAAATCTATTTCTGTTTGTTAAAGCCATCCATTTGTGATATTGCTATTATAGGGGAACTACATAACTAAGACAGGTACTAATTTAATTAATGTTCTATTAGTTTGATCTTCACTTAGATAGAATTCTGACTTCTTGAAAAATAAACTCTGTTTCAGTCATAATAACCTTAAAATTATTTTTTTACCAAAGTAACCAAAAAAGAAACAAAAAATCAAACCAGTTGCCGTTGAGTAGATTCTGCTCATAGTGACCCCAAGTGTGCAGAGTACAACTGCTCCACTGGGTTTTAAAGGCTGTGCCTTTCAGAAAGCAGATCGACAGGACTTTCTTTCAAAGTGCCTCTGGGTGGGTTCCAACCACCAACTTTTCAGTTCGTGGTCAAGTGCTTAACTGTTTGTACCACCCAGGGACTCAAAGACTAAAATAAGTCCAGGTAAATGAAGGCAAAGGAGACAAATCTGGCCTGGGTACCTCTGATGCACATTCTTGCAATGTCCCCACCACTGGAATTAACATGTCTTCATGAGAAGTCTTCAGTAATCGAGCCAACAAAGGGATGCCCCCCGCTTTACGAATGGCTTCTTTATTCGCATAGCTCTTACTGCAGCTCCACAGTGCCTGCGCACCACAACGAGCCACCTCCACGTCTCTGGTCTCATAGAGAGAGGGCTGAGGGGGCTCCGATGGACTCTGTCCACAGTCCAGTAGAGCAACCTACAAGAACAGACAGACGCAATACACATGGAAATCGTAAAATAACACTTCATGCACCTTTCAATAGCTACAGGGTTGATACCAAGCTCACCGCCATCAAAAATAAAAATAAACTAAGAAATCAATTATTGTACTACACGGCGGCCAGTAAAAACAAAGAAACAAACGAAGCTGTTCAAGACACCTTTCTCCAAATTTGGTGGCTTTTATAGTTGTTTCCCATGATAAATTTAACACCATCAAGGCAGCATTTTCTTTAATATGGCTCTAATACTTACACAGGGCTCCTGGGTGGCCCAAATAGCTAAGCACTTGGCTACTAACTGAAAGGTTGGCAGTTCAAATCCACCCAAAGCTTGGCAATGCAAATCTATTCAGAGGCCCCTCGGAATAAAGGCCTGGAGATCTACTTCTGAAAACTCAGTCATTGAAAACCCTACAGAGCACAGTTTTACTCTGAAACACATGGGGTCACTTTCAGTCAGAGTCGAGTCAACAGTAACTGATTTAATATTTATATTCGTATTTGTAAACCACATCCTCAGTCCTGGTATCTCAGAAAACCAGCATCTCTAAAGCCATGTGAAACTCTCTAATGAGAACTGGATGGACTGTTCACTCTTAAAGCTGTAAGAACTTTTGGGGGGACACAGCCCACCTCCTGCGCCACCATAGCCAATCAAGCCAAATGCCACAACTGCCAAGGTTTCCTTTCTTCTTTGCAATAACCAGGTACTGAAGACCTTATGGAAAAAGACAATTTACTGTAAGGATACAGCAGTATGTCAGGTTACTCCACGGAGGAAGTAAAGCCAGACCTCCCCAGAGATGTGACTGGAACCATGAAGTGGAAGCTGTGAGCCATTCTGCAGACTCACTGTCTTTATGTGGGGACCAAGGGCCATCATCTACAAATATCACCTCCATTATTCTCTCTCTGCAGGCCAAACTTCATGGATTCTGCCCACGTGATCATAACCCACAGATCCCAAGTTTTATAATGGAGTAACCCAAAACTAAGTAGAGTCTCTCCATCCAACTACAAATTCCTAGGCAAGAGATCTGTTTGAACCAGCTTGAGTCAGGTAAACACCCATAGTTTATGGCACAGGTAGGGACAGGAGACAGGAATATATACACAGACACACACACACACACACACATATATATATATACACACATATATATATGTGTGTGTGTGTGTATGTGTGCAATGTGTGCATGTGTATGTATGTATATATATGTGTATGCCTATGTATATGTATATATGTATGTAAGTATGTATGTGTGATGTATGTATGGCTTCCTGGCTTCCAGGTACCTACTGGGGGTGGGACAGCAACGAGGGGAAGAAGTTCTGAGACAATGAGATTGTACACAGGACTAAAAGGTATCTGTCTACTATAGGTATTTCCTCATAATCTATACAGATTCCAAACTCCTTAACTCATTGGAGAAGGTCCTGTATGATCGTCACGGTTCTCTATCATCATCTCTCACTACTCAGCCCATCTCATCCTAGGTCCGGCCATATTAAACCACCTGCAGTTTCCAAACACTCAATGCTGTTTCCCAGCTCCAGGCTTTCACCAACACAGCTTCATCTTCCTGAAATTCCTCTCCCTGGTGTGTCTGCCTGACAAATACCTACTCCTCTTTCAAAACTCAGCAAAAGCAACATCTCCTTCCTCCAGTTGTTCTTGACCCTCCTCCTCAAAGCAGAATCAGTTGATCACCTCCTCCACCATTTTGTTCCTCCACTACTCCCAGTACTGACTTCAGTTGAATACATAAAATGCACCATTCCATTTATTATTTTTTTTCACCTATATTCTCCCTGTCCTCATCCCCTACCACCATTACACTGTGAGATGGCTGTGGCCAGGGACATACATCTATTTAAATTCCTAGCACTGTACACATGGCGTGGTTGTTGTTAGGTGCCCTGAGTTGATTTCGACTCATAGTGACCCCGTGTGACAGAGGAGAACTGCCTCATAGGCTTTTCTAGGCTATAATCGTTAGAGAAGCAGACCAACAGATCTTTCTCCCAAGGAGCTGCTGGGTGGGTTTAAACCACTAACCTTACAGTTAGCAGCCACGTGCTTAACCACTGTGACATCAGAGTTCCTTCGACACCCAGTACCACTCGGTAAATGTTTATTGAACGGAAGGGTCAAGAATGCTGTGGATACAGGGGGACATGCAAACTGGCCACAGGACTAATAGCACCGTTTTGTGTAAATACTCACCCACATCTTACAATACATCCTGTCTCTGAAGCGCTCTTCTTGTTTGCTCAGACCCCGTGTCTTCTACCCACAGTCTTCCACCAGGTGTGCCTCTCCAAAGACGGACCTCCATCAAGGTGTGCAAACCCCATGCTGTCCAGCGCCTTCCTGCCTACTCTGCTCCTGACCTCAGTTCATTTGCCCTAACACCATCACTGGCCCACCGCACCACCTCTACTGTTTCTGTAGCGAGCGATCGCCCTCACTTTCGGTCTAGTTGGGGTCTCTTGCATGTATGTCATCTACTACTCACCCCCATGCCTAGGAAACCAAAACCAGACCCCAATCCCTGTCCCTCCCAGATGTGCTCTCAGTCAGCAATTACAAGTCTATTATTTACATTACTGGACTTTCCTGTCCCTAATTTAGCTATCATTTAAAATTATATTAAAATGTGGGTCATTATCTTGACTAGGTTAGTACAGTTGTCCAAATACTAGGTTCCCAAGCGTGATAGTTGCTGTCGAGTCGATTCCGACTCATGGCAATCCCATGCGTGCAGCTCATAAAAACACACTTTTACTTTTAGGTCACAGTATTCACTCCTGTCATTTAAAGAGACATGGAGCAGTTTCAGTGGACAGCTACATCAACCTGTCACACAATTTCATTATTCATTCAAGATAATGACAACCACTGTAATAATTCCATTTCCTGTCAATGCTACATTATGAAAATTTTTAAACACACAGAAAAGTTGAAAGACTTATACAGCAAACACACACGTATCCACCTCCTCAGCTGTGTAATTAACAACCGGCTACATTTGTTTTATCACATATCTAGCCATATACCTATCCATCAAGGAGACCTAGTGGCACAATGGTTAAAGCGCTCAGCTGCGCACCGAAAGGTCTGCAGTTCAAACCACCAGCGGCTCCACGGGAGAAAAGACCTGGTGATTTTCTCTCATAAAGACTGCAGCCTGGGAAACCCTATGGGGCAGTTCTCTACAGGGTCGCTATGAGCCTGAATTAACTTGACGGCACACCACCACCACAAGCACCCATCCATCTATCCATCTATAAATCCATCTTATTTTTGGAACAAACAGTTACATTTTTATAGTCCTCTGAAGATTATAAGTGAATACACAGAATCTCCTTTGGAAAATTTCCTAACTCATTTCCCAATAAAAATTACAAACTCATACGAACTCAACAGGTATTTATCAACCCCTGATATGTATAAGGCCCTGCGCTGAGTGCTGTGGAAGAGGCTGGGGTGGACAGGGACTGAACACAGAGAAAGTACAGCCCGATTAAGGTTGTGAGAGGAACAGGAGATCTACTGATTCTTACTAAGGAAGAGGAATACGCATTGCTTTATTGCACTTCATTCCTCAAGGGCTTCCCTGCCATGTCAAGGGTGTTGAGCAGAATGATAAAAAATTTTTTCCTTTCTCTGATAGTTACTGAAATAATCACTTCTTTGATTACAAAAATAATATATACAGATAGAAGACAAATCAACAAATGTAGAAAATACGAAGAAAAATCAGTAATCGTTTTCCCTGAGAAAATCACTGTCGACAATTTTCTGTATTTCCTTCTACGGTTTTTTCTATACATACATGGAGATCTTTAAGAATTGGGATCACAGGTACCAACAGTTTTTAATCCTGTTATAATTTTATATAACATTAAACGTGCTACATTTTATTCTTTGCTATTAAATATACTTTCAAAACACAAGGCTAACAGCTGACTATAGATGTTTTTATGGATGTGTTGCAAATTTATTTAACTGAGCTCCTGAAAACATGCAGGCCGTTTTCAGTCTTCATCCGTATGACTAACGACGAGATGGATAAATCTCTGTCTGCAGCTGACTGTCTCCTTGGAACAAGAGCTCACAGCGAGACGGCTACATTGGAGGCACTGGTCACTGCAGGCCTCCTGAGAGCACAGGCTACCAGACTGCCTTCCAGGGAGCAGGGTCTCACCACCCTCTTACCAACCTTGCATACACACACAAGCGGATCCCTACCAACGTGGCAGGTAGAAACTGCATCTCGATTTTAAAATGTATATTTATTTGAAAAGTGAGGTTGCTCTTGTTTATTGGGTACTTGCTGCTGGACAATGAAAAGAAGAAAACAGAATCGACGCATTCAAATTGTGGTGCTGGTGACGAAAACCGAACGTACGGTGGACTGCCAGAAGAATGAGCCAATCTGTCTTAGAGGAAATACAACTAGAACGCCCCTCAGAAGTGAGGATGGCGAGACTTCGGCTTACTTACTTTGGACTCGTCATCAGAAAAGACCAATCGCTAAAAAACGATACCATGTTTGGTAAAGTAGAAGGTCAACAAAGTGAGGGAACCCCTCAACGAGATGGGCTGACACAACAGCCCCAACAATGGACTCAAATTTACCAGCGATCATGAAGACAGTGCAGGACTGGCAACGTTTCGTCCTGTTAGATGTCAGGTCACCACAAGTCAGAGCCGACTCAACAGCAACTGACAGTAACATACTAAAACAACCCACTGCCATAGAGTCTACTCCGACTCGCGGTGGCCCCCCGCGTTACAGAGCAGAACTGCTCCATCAGGTTTTCTTGGCTGTAATCATTACGGAAGCAGATCGCCAGGCCTTTCTTCCATGGTGCTGCTGAGTGGGTTCAAACCACCAACCTTTAGGTTAGTACTTGACTGCAAACGGTTTGCGCCACCAGGGACCCTCAGTAACAAGCTAATGTGCATGAACAAAAATGATACTCAAGGACATTCAACACAAAAAGAAGACTCCCAGAATACACCCTGGTGGCTATTTCACGCCTGGGAGTGGGTGGGAAGGGCAGCAGGAAGCTGACGGTCATTGGAGGTATCACTGATACTCACCAGCTTGGTGATACCCCCGTGCTGTCTCACAGCCTGCCGGGCACGTCTGAACTTGGCAACATTAGCGATTGTTTCAGCTGCCAAGCATTTCAGATTCTTGTTTGGAGAATCAAGTATGTTAACCATAATTGGCAAGCCCCCAAGGTCAACAATATTACGTCTGATTTGAGGATTATGACTGATTTCCTTCAGGATTTTTAAAGAACCAATCTAAATGAGAAAAAAGGTATATGTGAATGAGCACTTAATACCTAGCCAGTGCTACATTTTTTAAAAAAAAATCCAAGTCTACCTAAAATCCTTCCGCAATTAAGATCTTTAAGAAATAGTTTCCATTCCCAGGTGTCCCACACATCCTCCATTTTTCCTCTCAATTATGTAAACAAACCTTCATCAGTCAAGAAGTGAGAGAGACAAATGGAAAAGAGCAAGGGGAAAAAGGAGAAAAGCAGAGAGAAGAGAAAGAACAGCTAACAGTAGAAGTAGCAGACTGATTAATAATAATAATACCAGGTAAAGATAAACGGGCAGCAAGGAATGGCAGAAACCTACAGCCAAGAAGATTCCCCACAAGAAGTGGGAACAAAACTCCCCCTCCATTGTGACAAACCCACTCACCTTACATTTGACTTCATCAGTATCCAGTAAATTTATTAAAACTTCAAGGCCTCCAACATCCCTGATTGCCAACTGGCAGGTCTCTTGAGCTAAGTTGAAATCCCTCATTGAGCACAATGCAATCACTGTAGCTGTCTGATTTCCTCCCTACAAAGACACAAAACCAGAGAAAAGTTAAATAAGGTCACACTCCCATAGAAATTCACTGAACTAGGAAATGGGTTTCCCCATCCACAGCACAGTATTTTATTTTTTTAAGTTCTCTGAGTGGGTTATAATTTGTTGAGTGAATCGCATAGAGCTGAAGCATGAAAAAGCTGTAGACTGTCATAAAACATTGTTCCAACGAAGAGTCAACATTTAAAGGCGGTCTGTCTCATTTAAAGAGCTACAACACTACGTGGTATTAGTATAGTAAGCAGAGTGGAGGGGCCACCTTGGGAGATTGACTGAGGAATGTAAGCTTTATACAGAGGTAACAGTTGGTCTCACAGCTCTTCAACAGTCTACTTGCAATGTCAGCTGAATCTGAAAACTGTTCTCACAGACGCAGCAGAGCATCTGCAACAGGGAGAACCTGGGGAAAGAGAAACCATGTGGAAGGCAGTTCCAACAATCCAGACCAGGACCTAGAGTCGGTGGACTAAGGGCTCGGGGTTTGGAAAAGAGGAGGCAATTCCAGGAAGACCTGGAGATGAACCAGATGGGCAGGATGACAGAGGAAAAGAGAACACTTCACTGCCGCGAGCTAAATGTTGGCCCAACTTAGAAAGAGCCCAGGGGTCATAACGTCTACTTAGCTAATCACCACACGTAAAGGCTAGTGATGAGCTACTCCTTTAAGATTTAAAAAAAAAAATTTTTCTGAGAGATTAAAAAACGTATTAATGATTGATCAGTGAACCCAGACCTGCTAGGAAATTAAAATCGGAGTTCACTGCAGCAATATCCACTGGTCATTACTGCTTTGGAAATCTGATGAACACAACACAATACATATTACTTCTACTGCTGTTGAGACTGGCTGGTCAATTAGAATTCTAGCAGAAGCACTGAAATAGTTCATAAGACACAAAAGCAATATTTCTGCCAAGCTAAGAATAAACTTTGCCTCACAGACTTTGGACATGTTATCAGGAGGGACCAGTCCCTGGAGAAGGCCATCATGCTTGGTAAAGCAGAGGGTCAGCAAAAAGGAGGAAGACCCTCAGCGAGATGCACTGACACAGTGGCTGCAACAATGACTCAAGCATAACGAGGACTGTGAGGACGGCGCAGGGCCGGGCAGTGTTCCGTCCTGTTTTACACGGGGTCGCTACGAGTCGGAACTGACTCAACGGCACCTAACGACAACAAGAATAAATTATTTTGTAAAAGGTGCTTATTAAAGACAACCTTGGCTTTCTGCCTTCTTCTTTTTAAGGGAAGACACCTTCAGATTATGACTTCTTTCATTTGCCAATTATCATTTTCTATTGCCATTATCTATTATATATATAATAGGTGGACTTAGCACAGAACATAGAAAATATATACAACCCCCTCTCCTTCATATCACATACACACACATCACAAATCCTCTTGCAGGTTCAAAACAATATGTCACTTTTAAAATAAGAAACTAAAATGGGGTTATTAGAGAGCACGCATGAAAATGGGCTTACACGCAGGAATGACTGTGAGGATGGCACCGGGCCAGGTAGGGTTGGGTTCTGTGGTACATGAGGTCGCTGACTTGGAACCAACTCGACAGACCTGACAACAACATGCATGAGAAAGTGAAGACGCCAAGGCTGAAGACATCAGCCTTTCCTCGTACTCCCGTTCAGAAAATTCCTTCCGCGTCTCTACAGATGTTACCAACAATTAATTCCTCGGTGGTGATGCCACTGTTAATTTCTTGTTTTTCATACTCATGCTCCCTACCAATAACCCAAGCTATCCTCTATATTCAAGACTGTTTTATAAAGAGCCTTAATTTTATTATTTACATTGAAAATAGTAAGTTCTAGACTTTAGAACTCTAATTATAAATATATATAATATATATACCTACAGTTTATAGTGTCTTTTTTTCCTAATTTCAAGAGAAATTTTAAGAATACCGATTTTCCTACGGTTGGTTTTAAAATATAAAATAATAAACACTTTATTTATTAGTTTCATAAACTGCTTTGTTTGAGAGCATCAGGCCCCCCTACATGTTAGCACTTCCTTTTCCTCTTCGGGAAGACAAAAGCCAGGTATGTTGTAACCATAAAGAAGAATGTAAATGCTAGTCATAACTAATGAAAGGAAATGAAATAATACACAAAAAGGAAAAGTGAACAAAATAAGAAAAATCATTCATTAAATAAGACCCTTTGTCTTAACGGAAATGGCTGAAAGCAGGCAGAAAATGCCTGGGGTATCTGAGGTAACAGAGCTGAGTTTCAACATTAAGAGTCTGAAAATCTAAGCCAAGAGGTTTGGGTGGAGTTGTTCTTTAGGTAGAAAGGCCTTTCACTTCAACTTCAGACTCCAGTATGATGAGAAAGCAACAAGATATCAACCAGGTCATTATGCCTCAGTCAAGCGGAGTCCTCTCATCCCGGGCCTAACAATTTCAGCAAGGATGTTGGCGTTAGCTGTCATTAAGTCAGCTCTGACTCGTAGTGACTCCATGTACAACAGAACAAAATATTGCCCAGTCCAGCACCATCCTCACAATTGTTGCCATGCTTGAGTCCGTTGTTATGGACATTGTGTATTTTGAGTGCCTTCCAACCCAGGGGGCTCATCTTTCAGCACTATGATGGACAATATTCTGCTGTGATCCAGAGGGTTTTCACTGGCTAATTTTCAGAAGTAGATCGCCAGGCCTTTCTTCCTAGTCTGTCTTAGTCTGGAAGCTCCACTAAAATCTGTCCACCACAGGTGACCCTGCTGGTATTCGAAATGCCGGGGGCATAACTTCCAGCATCACAGCAACACACAGGCCACCACAGCATGACAAGGTGACAGACGGGTGGTGTACCGTCCTGATATCCTGTTATGGATGATGGAAGGCTTTCTCCACCACTATTCTAGCATTATAATACTTTCTTTGGTAGCAATTTTCTTATACACTTAGCACAATTTTTGCTCCTATTTCAAGTTTTCTTAATTTTTTCTCTTCTAAACTAATTCATCTTTTGAGCATTATTTCATTATTTACCATACAACCAATGATACAAATTATTTAAAAGCCATTTAATTACAGAAAATGCCGAAACCTTAAGATTTTACATTTTTTCTGAATTATCTCTAGGCCAAATCTGAAGTTAAAGGATTGAAATTTTGCAGTTATCGTTAAGAAATTAGATCCTTATAGGAAAAAAATTCTGTAAATCATCAGCTTTTTCTGAAAATCTGGAAACATATTCATAGCTTGAGGGTTTTTTTTAGAACAGTTTTATATTAGGGAAAGTTACTTTTTCCACATTTCAGGATTTAGTTCTACTCTTGTCACTGACCACACTCCCGTAAGGATTATAAATCTTTCAGAATGAATACCAGAGGTTGGGAGCCAACATATTTGACATACAGAGCCGCAAATGTTCGCCAATTGCTATTCTTTAAATACCAGCTCTAGCAAAGGATTTTTGAATGTTCGTTCTACTTTGTCCAAATGCCATAAACATCTTAACTGAAGAGAAGCAGTGCAAATACACTCCTTTTTCGATTAACCCTTCCCTGAGAACACAATTAGTTGCCAATACTTATTTTCACATTTTATCATGCATTTGCATTTGTGGGGTTTTAAGAGCGGGAGAAAACACAGTAAAATATTATTTTACTGGCTTATTAAGAGTTTTGAGGGAAGCTTTCATAACTTTTCCACTTCTTATATTAACGCGATTATTTGCTGGGCATCTTCCTGCTCCTGCTTCTTCTCAAACATCTCCAGGGACCGTCGGCCTAAAATGGTTCGCAGTGCACATTCCTTTGCATGATCAGGAGGCATTTATTCATTGGCATCACTGTCTCAGACTTGCAAAAACTGGATGTCTGTTGCTTTCTCTCACTTTTCTCAAAACTTCTTTTTGAAGGAGGAGAGGAACTGAGGAGATTTTTCTGAACAGTGTTTTTCATCACTTTAGATAAAATCTTTGAAATAAAGAAGCATTGCCTTGTCTACTATACAGAGTAATACCCTCCATTCTGTCGATAAGGAAGAAATGAGCATTTACTAAGTTGAGATGAAGGAGCGCTGACCCCAACGGTTAAGCGCTCAGCTGCTAACGAAAAGGTTTTTGATTTGAGCCCACTTGGTGGCTCCACGGAAGAAAAGACCTGATGATCTGCTCCCGTAAGATTGCACTCTAGAAAACCCTATGAGTCAGCTGTACTTTGTCACACGGGGTCACTATGAGTTGAAACAGACTCAATAACACTTAACAACTAGTTGAGAGGAAGAACGCATTCAAGAAGAAACAGGGAGCAAGTCACTGAAGTCGTTTTTCTGGTCTTTGATTCAGTGCATTGATTGCACACTTCCTATCTGCCAACCCTGATGCTAGGTGCTAGAGACGTGCTAGTTAAACAACACCAATAAAAGCAGACAGGGTCCTTGTCTCATGGAGCTTACAGGTTAGCAGAGCAGGAAGCTCTTCATTTTCTTAAAATCTACAGACATAAATAAAAACTGTAAGTCTGAGAAGTGCTACAAGGGAGAAGTGACGGGCTGTGGAAGGATGCAACAGTGGACTTTCACCTAGTCTGGGGCATCAGGGAAGGTTCCTCTCAGAAAACAATGCCTGAGCTGAGACCTAGACATGGAGTAGATGCTTTCCCTAGTGGGAGGAGAAGTGAGGGTAAGCACACCAATCAGGGGAACAGCAGGTGCAAATGCCCCGTGGTGGAATGGAGGGCGACAGTTTAACAACTAATGGTGGCCAATGTGGCTGCAGCCCAGAGAGCAAAAGGCTGGGCAACAGAGCCTGCAGGGCCCACGGGCCAGCTGGAGGATTTTAACCTTTACTTCAAGACTGATGGAATACACTGAAAGGTTGTTGTTGGGACGTAAGGGGAGAGTTAACACGAGCTGATCACATTTTTAAAAGATCACTCTGGCTGCAGAGGCCTCTGGCTGGAGGGAGGGAGCATGGCGTGTAGAGACCATTTAG